CCAGTGCGGCACCTCGCCAATGGGCTCCGTGCCTCTCTGCACCCAGAGATCGGGGGGCCCAACCCATGCCCTTGTGCCTCTATGCACCCAGAGGTTGGGGGGCCCAACCTGTGCCCCACTGGGGAGGCGCTCGGGATGGGTGGGTCAGTACCAAATCGCCAGATGCAGCCCAAGGGCACAGATCACACCATGGCTCTGCCCTAGGGACCCCAAGGGATGCTGGGGATGGCCGCAGCCTGGCACCGAACGCGTTCACACCAGGGCTTTTATGAAAGCCCAGGTAGGAAGGGGACAGATCACTAAGGACAGACCCGACACAAGCCCAGGGTCCTCCCTCCTCCAGGACAGACAGTAACTTTCCCATCGCGTTCCTCAGTGCCTTTGGGCTAAGCGAAGGAGGTGAAAAATCACCTGCAGCATCCAAGTGTCTGACCATGGCACCTTCAGGCACAGACCTCCGCACTGCTGTGATGCTTTCTCAAGGACACCATCAATTCACAGGCAATATCATACTGTCTTCTACTACCACAGCTGAGCAGGCAGCCCCTGCCATCGCTTCACCCTGTGAGCCCTCTGGCCCCTTCTCACGCTGCGTATGAAACTTACACACGGAAGGGAAATTTTGGCATCTACTTAACCCAGGAGAACCAAGTATCTCACTGTCTACAGTCTTTAGGAGAAGGTCCAAGAGGAGCCACAGTTATCAGGAGATGGAAGTCTGGATTGCAGCTTTGGCTTTTCCATGGGGTTTGTGTTGCTCTGGCCCGGTGTAGAAATATGCCTAAGTTTTTCCATGCATAGGTATAACCTTACAGCACTGTGCATTAGGGGAGCAGAAATCACTACCAAGGATGGATAAAAAAGAGGCGATGCCATGTGGAAGAGCATGCAAAAAGGTCTTTAACACGCTCTATAAATCTGAAGAGAAAGCTCACACCTACCTGGGGGACTCTCCAATGAAATAAATGTACTGCATCCCTCTGGGCTGCTTCAGAGCAATATTAAGGAAAGAGAGCTAGAGTATGTACACTGCGTGCCTGAAATGAGCCTAGAGCTACTAGATGCTAGAGCGGCATTTCAAAGGCACTGTCCTGTGAAGGATGAATACCAGTGCTGCTCCTGCCCTCCTTTCCTCTGCTCCTCACTCCCACACACATGTACAGATGGGTTGAGATGCAGGCAGGTAGGCTGACGTACCTGCGAGCAGCTTTATTTGAAGGGCTTCTCAAGCACAAGCCCTGATTATTGTACAGCTGGCTGCCCATCACTCAGGAAGAAAAAGCACTCCAATGATACATGGAAAAGTTATCTCAAAAATAACAAGGCATTAAACCACTTGAGATCAGTTGCATTAAGGTCAGCAGGAGCATTTCTATTCCCCAGCCTGATCGCCCCTGTGCCCAGGCCAGGGAACCTTGTGTCACCCAGTTTCTCCTGATTTGGTCCCCATTAGTCCAGCAAGAGAAACTTTTTTCCTTGGATCTGCACCTGGAAGGGAGGCTCAGAGAGATGGCCTCGCCTCCCCCTCTGCAGCACCCGTCCCTTGCACGGGACGTTGATGGCACCACCTCAAAGGAGACGGCGGATGGGCAATTCTGGCAGCCAGGATGGGCACCCAGAGCTGCTCTCCCACAGGTAAAGGACCTGGACAGAGGCACAAATGCCCCTTGCAAGATGCCTCAGAAGCCACAAGGTGCTGCTTAGCTCGTGAGACAGCTGTGTGCGGAAAGCCCAGCAGAGATGTGAGCATCTCCCTAATTTCTCCATGAACATGCAGTGCCCCTCGGCCACGCCGCCGCCTGAGACCATTTTTGAGGAGCTCAGCTGCACCGCACTAGCAAGCCACCATGACACAAAGCCAGGGATGGACCAGCTTAAACCCCTGCTTTCGATTTTCACTGCATCCCTGCCTGCAAGCAGCTATTGCCAGGTGCTCTTGCATTTCCCACAGAAATGGCCAGAGTTGTCAAGTTTGTTTTCAAGCCAAGGCTAACCCTCAGAAAATGCAGAGCAAGCCCCACTAGGCTGCCTGGGTTTGCTGCCCAGCACCTGCACCCAGAAAGCAGCTGTGCTCTCTGCCCACCAATGCACCGGCACCCCTCGCTAGCTCACAGCACAGCCCACAGCAGCAGCTAGCATCCTGCTATACATAGAGCAATGCAGTGATTTGCCTGCTCCTTCCCCTATACATAACAAACCCCCCCAGCACTGCAGTCCCAGGGGCGAGGCAGAAAGAAACGTAGTGATTTAGAAGCTGAGACTCCTGCAGTGGTGCCCAAGTGACCCTCGTTACCTGCATTCCCTGATCCCCAAATGTAGCACCCAACCCCATTTTATTAGCTCCCTTATGCCATTCGGTGTAACATGCCCTAACAGAGACAGTACTAACATGAGCAACACCAGCAGCATCTGGTGAAGCACAGGGCCCAGCTGAAGCACAGGGAGGAGGGGTCCTGAGGCAGCAGCACAGTGCTCGTACGGCGATGGACTAGAAATCACTTGGTTTTATAAGGGAAGCTCTTTAGCACAAGGATGAAGGGCTGTATTTGCATTGCTACACCATCCCTGGACCACGCAGGAAACTCTCCCTGGACCATGCAGCTCCCCGTCCTCTTATCTGACAAGCAGGGATCAGCAGTGGCAAGGGAGGAGGAGGAGGTGCAAAGGCTGCCATGGGGAGTCCAGCCCTGGCTCCCGGTTCCCTAAGGAGCTGCCAGCCGGAGCCGCGATTGATGCTGCGGTGGTGCGGCCCTTCTCTCAGCAGGCAGCTGCCTCACGTCCAACCTGTGTGCGGAAACCTCTTTGTCATGGCAGCTAATGAGCAGATTGTATTTCACGGTGCCATGGCCCCTGGCCCCTCGCAGGTACAGCCAGCAGCTTTCATCTCCCTGATAGCTCCCACGGGAAAAGAGCTGTCCTGCGGAGCAGGTTACGGTCTGGTCTCACTGGGCTTTTTGGTGCTTGCAACTTTTAAACTTTCTGTCGGTTTGCACCTGCCAGTGGCTCTTTTAAAGCATAGGAGTCGAGGGAATGGGGTTGGGGAAGCACCCACTGGAGTTTGTGCAGGAACACAGCAGTGGGATGTGGGAAATAGGTAAACACTGAAACACGTGGAAGAGCAAGGAAACATCTATGAGGGGGGGTGGCATCTAACTTATTGGGAGAGTTATCTTTAAAACAACAGCAAAATCCATTTTAAAGACCTCCATTGTGTTTAACAGCCCAGGGTTTATTCCTCAAACTCCTTCCCTGGCTTTAATCCCACTCCTAACTGCACGCCTGCCCCAGCCGCTCCAGGGCTGCTGCCCCGGCTACGCTGGGAGAGCTGGCCATGGGCCACCCGCGGTCCCTGCTGTGCTGGGAGAGCTGGCCTGCACCCGCCCAGCCAGGAGCAACCCCGGGGGGCCCCGAGGCCCTGGGGAGGGGGGAGATGTGGCTTGGCCAGGGGAATTGGCTCTTCAGAAGAAATCCATCAAGCGTTTGCCCCAGGCTCAGATTCATCTCAAACAAAGTTCAAAGCCCCCAAGGCTCCCCCGGCCCGGGGCCCCAGCGCTGGCAGGTACGTCTGCCAGAAAGCTGCGTACAGGAGCAGTCCAGGGTGCTCCAGGAGATACCCAGAGCAGTACTGGCAGGGGACCGCGCTCTCCTGCTCGCTGGTTTGCTCTCCAGAGCCACCCACCAGGCCATACTGGGGGGCTTAGCACAGACGTCGTGTTGCAGACACCTCCTGCATCCTCCCCTGACCCTCAGGGATGCTGTCGTGGGGATGCTGTCACGGGGATGCTGTTTTCACCATCTGAGTAAGTAGAACTGACCAAGACGCAGCTCCCTCAGCCTCTGCCCCCCTGCAGCTGCTCCCCGAGATCCCAGCGCAGCGTCAAAGGCAGGTTCGCAGCGGCAGGGGTGTGCACCTCTCCAACACGGATCCTCAGCCTGCCGGCAGTGTCTGCCAGGTCATAGAGCCATAAATCACTTCCAGGAGAGATGCAGAGCACCCAGCCGCTCTGCATGGCTCTCCATTTACAAGGCAGGGTATTTACTAGCCCCCCGCAAAAAGATGAAAAGGAAACCTGCTACTTTTAATAGGGTTTTTCATACAGTTTCTTTATGAGCACCATGTGTGTTGGGAGTCCCCCCTTGCCCAGGTGTTTTTGAAGAGTGAGGGTTACTGCGGGGAGCTGGTGAGAACCACTGCTCCCTGTGAAGCTGGGAATGGCCCTCATATGCCCTTCACCTCGGTTTCTAGAGATCTGAAGTCAGGTGCTGAGGCTCCAGCCTGGCTTCCCCTGGGCCAGCTCACCACTACTGATCCAGCTGCCCACCCTGAGCCATGCCACATCCCTCCCTCCGACTCTGCAGTCCACGCTGGCACCCCTCGGTGGCACCAGCCTCCCTCCCGTGCTACCCACCCTGGGCACTCGATGAAGTTTCAGCTACAGAGGTAACGCTCTCCCATCTGCCTCCAACATGTTGCATTTGGCATGAACTAACATCTCCTATTAATACTGCAAGAAACAGACCTGGAAAAATTCATTTTCAAGCAGAGTTTGACAGGCCACAAGGAGAGAAACCTCCTTGCAAATAAGTGTGGAGAAGCCAGCGCGGGTGCGACGCCCCCGGGCAGACCTACCGGCAAGGGGTTGAAGTTCTGGTCGACCAGAGGGTTGTGGCCGTGGTCGAGGAAGGAGTGCCGCCCCACCACGTCGATGCCCCGGCTCGCCAGCAAACCCAGCGTGTTCAGCCACCTGGGGACGGAGGGAGAAGGGTCAGGCTGCTGCGGGGGGAGCCCTCGGCCCCAGTGGCATGGCCGTGCTCTGGCGTACAGCATCACTCTCGTGCGCCCAACCTGGCACCCGCTCCCAGCACCCGAGCCAAAGCCTTCAGATGGTTTTGTGAGCTGGGCATTAACCGGCTCCCACCATCCCCACCCTGGCAAGCCTGCATGCCTCTCCCCCTGCCACAGCCACCTCTGCCCCAGCTGTGCTCACCTTGCGTGTCCCGACACCGCACCTGAGCCCCTGCGTGCACCCCAGTGTTGCAGCCCTGTGCCCAAAGCCTGGGGTGTCCCCCCAGCACCCTGCACCCACCATCTCAGCAGGGGGGACCAGACCATTGCCCCAGCCTGCCTCCTCACACCCCCAGGGCAAAGTCTTCAACCCTGGTAGCCTGCCACAGCCCCAATACCTTGGGACACATCCCCACGCCTCCCCCCAGAGCCTGGATAATTTTCGTCCATCTTTTGTGATCATGGCCAGCTCTGAAGAACTGAACTGGGGCTTTGCAGCAGGATGCCCATGCCATGGGGCTGTGCCAGCAGACAAGTCCCAGGAGCCAGGAACGGCTGTGGCTTTGAAGAAGGAGAGAAAATGGTTTCCAGAGCAGAGTTCTGCTGAGCGCTTCCCTGGGCAGGTGCCCCAGGAATTAATGCACGCAAGGACGCATGGCTGCAGCCTGAACCAAAAACACAGAGTGGGAGGAGGCCTGGGTGATCCCAAGCTGCTGAGCGAGGCCAGCCTGTCAGGGTGCTGGCCCTGGGTCCTGGAGCTGGCATGCCCAGATCTTGCCTCCCCTTCCACGCCCATGCCCTGCGGGCACACTGTGGGTACCCGTGTGGGATCCCAAGTGGTCCCCTCCTTGCTCTGCTTCTCTGGGTATGCCAGAGGCTGGGTCACCTACAGGAAAGCAGAGCTGAGGAGGGGTAACAGGGATGCTACAGAGAAAACAACATTGCCCAGGCTGCCAAGGGTGTAGCAAGGGGGAGTACAGGTGGGGTGTCCGGGCGCAGAGCTGGCCCTCTCCCAACTGCAGTGGCTTTGCAGCACCCGAG